GTGGCGAGCTGACGTGGCATGGCGTGGCGCGTGTAGGAAGCAAAAGCTGCGCACACACAAGAACTGCTTCGTGGGGAGCGAGTTTGTGGACTGGCTGGTGGTCAACCGACGAGCCAAGACGAGGGCCGAAGGCGCGAGCCTCGCCCAGCAGATGTTCCTCCAAAAGCTCATTGTACGACACACGCGTCGCGCAACACGACACACGCGACGGGTGCGCTGACGCGATCGCGTTTGTCGTTGACGTTTCCAGGTTCCAGTGCAGTCGAGCGACTCGCAGTTCGAAGACAAGAAGGGCCTCTACCGCTTCTTCGGCGGCGACGGCAACTTCTCGCCCGTTTCTTCGCCCACCGTCGCCCCGCACGAGCCCTTCCCCGAAGACGGTGCGGTCGTGCGTGTGCGTCGTGTGCGGTGTGTGCGTGTGCCACGTGCTGATGCGGGTGCGATTGCAGATGGGGACGATGAGCTGGACCAGCTGTACCCCTACATGGTGGCGGAGATCGAGGCCAAGAGCCGGAAGGACTTCGAGAACAAGACCCACAAGAACTGCTTCGTCGCCACCCAGGCGGTGGACTGGCTCATGAAGAACCGGCATCGCGCCATGACCAACGACCAAGGTACGACTCTGTTCGAAGCCTCCCTTAACACTTATCCGGCACGCCCCATCACGCTCACCACCACCGAACCCTAATGTCACAGCGCTCGAGCTGGCCGAGAAGTTGAGGCAGAAGGGCTACATCAAGTGGGTGGGACGCAAGACCAAGAAGATATCCATCTCCGGTACCCAAGCGTGGCCTTGATCTTTTCGCTGGTGGTGGCCATGCGAGTCATTCTAACGTGTGTTGTGTGTTTGTCGTGTAGGGCCGATGTCGTCGCCGCAGGCTGTCGCGGCGGCCACGGCAGTGGCGGGTCCACCCTTCGAGGACGACGACTCCTACTACGTCTTCGAGAAGAAGAGCACCAACCGCTCCAGCAAACGAGGCAAATAATTTTACACCACGGGTATTCTCACGTTACAAGGGAACGTGAATTTTCGAATTTAAAAGGAACATTGTATTTTACGTAAATCATTGATTGGCTTGTAAATTCGCTCAATTTGAGGCAATGAGAACTCGTCACCCCGTAGCCAAGCAGCTACTACCATTATTTCCGGGGCTCCGGGCGTGCCTGGATTTTGGTGGGCACCGCTAAGCGCCGGAGTCTTTTAGCCAGTCGAAAGTGACTTGCCATGAAATTTCGTGATAGCTTAGCAGAGGACCCGTATTGGAGTCTTTGGTTAAGCTCCGCCTCTGGAAGAGGGTGACGTCGGGCCAATTAAATTGGGAACGCACCAGTTCGTGCTGTGTGCCTCCCGCTCTCGAGTGGTCTCTCCATCTCTTCTTCGTGGTCTCTTCCATCGCCTCTTCTGCTGCCCTTCGAGTGCTGAACGCGCAAACGTTTCTGTTTCGGTTCAACCTTGTTGCGGCGCATCCATAGACATCTTGTCTTTCTCCATTTCACTCGAATCGAAACAACACATCACATCGATCATGGCCTGGAAAGTTGCTTTCTGCGTGGTGTTGCTGGCCGTGGTGGCCCACCTCCTCGTCGATCCCTTCGACATCTCGTCATTGACCAAACACAAGGAGGACTTTCTTCATCGATCGCCCTTCGCCGATCTGCAGACAGGCAACAGCTCCTCCCTTTCTCAAGTGCTCTTCGACGCTTCCACCTCTGTCGCTGGATTTAAGCGACTAGTGGCCTTCCTCGAAAGCACCACCAATGCCCGCGTACGATTTCCCAATTAATCTCTCTTTTTCTTTCCCATTCGATCTTCTACTTGAAACGTGTTGTGACGATGCATCGTCACCTGTCCATAATTGGATTCATCTGCAAAAACGTAGCAGCACTTATCTTCTATCTTGCTCATCTTTTTGACCTCTTCTTCTACACAGGCTCTCATGGGCACCTGGGTGGCGTGGGTTGCTGTCGCCTTCCTCGCATCGGCGCCCTGGACCCTGAGCTGGGCCTACGATTACTTCTGCTGCCCGCTCGAGTTGACCGTCAGCCTTGAGGACGTCGAGCGCCGCGCCGACGGCAAGAAGTACCCGCCGTGGGAGCGCCCGCGCCGCCTCCGCGGTGCCGTCCCCCCGCCCTACCCCAACGCCTGGTACAAGGTCTGCAACTCGCACGACATCCCCAAGGGCGAGTCGCGCGACTTTGAGCTCCTCGGCCACTTCTTCGCCGTCTACCGCGGGGTGCGTCTCGTCTCGTCTCGTCTCTTCCAAACCGCACACACTCTCTTTGTTTGTCAGCAACTGACGCACGACACACGACACACACCACCGCACACGACACACGACACACGACGCATTACAGGAGGACGGTAAGGTGCGGATTCTGGACGCCTACTGCCCGCACATGGGCGCCAACCTGGGCGTGACGGGCCGCGTGGTGGGCAACGAGATCGCGTGCCCCTTCCACGGCTGGCAGTTTGACGGCGAGGGCAAGTGCACGCACATCCCCTACGCCGAGAAGGTGCCCGGCTTCATGAAGACCACCGCGTGGCCCTCGACCGAGATGAACGGCTCCGTGATGCTCTGGCACGACGCCGAGGGCCGCCCGCCGCTGTGGATGCCCTCCGACATCAAGGAGATCAACTCGGGCCGCTACAAGTGGCACGGCGCCGCGCTCCACCAGGTGCGGGCGCACATCCAGGAGATCCCCGAGAACGGCCCCGACACGGCCCACCTCAACTACCTCCACGTGCCCCTCGTGTTCCGCCTCCTCAACAAGATCGGCTTCCACCACGCCTGGGAGGCCACCTGGGAAGCCGGCAAGGGCGTCGACGAGCACCTGGTACGACACACCGCACACCGCACGACACACGCGACATGACACACGCGACACACGCACGCGAGACTGACATTTTTTTTATAGGCGTTCATGCGGGTGATTCAGTCAGTCGAGTTCCGCGGGCGGTACATCCCCGGCACGCGCATCGACGTCGACATCGTCCAGGTCGGCCCCAGCATGGTCCACCTCCACTTCGCCACCCCGTTCGGCAAGGTGATGCTCATCGAGACCGTCACCCCCGTTCAACCCCTCCTCCAACGCATCACCCACCAAGTCTTTGCTGGTACGCCACAACAACAACCAACATCACACACACACACTCACTCACTCCCTCCTTCATCAAACAACCTTCGTCAACTCATTCGTCAACATCGATGTCGTTGGCTTCTTCTTCTTCTTGCAGAGTGGACCGTGCCTCGTTTCTTCGCCAAGTTCATCATGGGCAACACCATCGTGCAGTTCGAGCGCGACGTGCCCATCTGGAACAACAAGACCTACCTCAACAACCCCGGCCTCGTCAAGGAGGTATCACGCCCCCCCCCACACTTTGTTATTTATTTATTTCCTTTTTATTCATTCAGTTATTAATAAGCGAATATTATTGTTATCTTTTGCATTCATTGCTGACGTCATCATCCAAACAACAGGACGGTCCCATCGCCAAGTACCGCCGGTGGTTCGCCAAGAACTTCTACTCGGAGAACTCGGAGAAGGTGGCGCGGGACAGGGCCGCCGCCACTGGTTCGATCGACTGGTGAGCTTCGCGAGGAGGCCACCACCGTCGAATCCCGAGAGCCCTATTTATTATCATCATCATATCATTATATCGAGCCCCCGGGTGCGACTCTTGCTCAACGCCGCGGACGGAGGACGAGGAGGAAGGACTTGCGAAGAAGACGACGATGGACGATGATGACGATGACGACGACGTCAGCCAGCCAGCCAGCCAACAACCACGGGTGGGGGTGCGCGACATCATCGCCCTCATCATCATTCTCATCGTCATCATTTTTTGTTGTGTGGAGATTTTAGTGCGAGGACGACTCCCTCTCTTCTTCAAGGCCTTGATGGAGGAGGTGTAGTTCTAGACAAGAGGAGGAAATGTGTGTTGTGTTGTGGTGTGGGTGCGCTTTAGATTGTGAATGCTGTGATCAGAGGAGTTGTTTTTACGCTCAGCACCACCCCACCAACAAACAATAAACAACCATTACCAACAACCAACAACACACTCATCACCCACACTGAGACCAGTGTTGTCGTCTTCTTCAAGCTGAGAGCTCAGCACCAACATGATGGTGTGCCTGGGAGCGATGTGGGAGGATGAGCGTTCCCCAGGAAGTAGAGGGTTCCCAACTACAACTTTCCGGTTCGTGCGGGGACTAAAAGAGGGGTGAGGTGAGCACGCCGTTGATTGCGTTTACTGATCAACTCACCCACAACGAGCTTGCACGCTAGGCTCCCATTACCACCAATTTGAAATCCTCGATTCGACGAAGAGATAATCGATGGCGCAGATGAACCCGGATTTGAAGAGGGAGCGAAAGGGCGCTTCGTTCGATGTGCGGTTGATGACGCACCTGCTTGATGGTGGGGCGGAGGCGACGGCCACGCGTGAACGCTTCCAGAAGCTGGTTGCCGATGAGCCCGTGTTCGCCAACGATGACAAGTACTTCCTCTCGCGCGTCCAGAACTACGAGCGAGTGCTGCAGAAGGTGGTGAGGGGCATTCAGATGTGCATCGAGCACAACATTACGCCCGAGGATGCCGAGTATCTCTTCCACTTCATCGGCGAGGAGTTCATGGTCGCGCTGCACTGGAGCATGTTCATCCCCACCCTCCAAGGCCAGGCCACCAACGACCAGGTGAGCTCATCAATTTTTAAAATCTCATTCGCAGCCGCTACTCGCTTCATCCCCAATTAATCACTTTTACATTTATTTTTAATTTAAGATCGATCATTATAATTGTTTCTGATATGTTCATGTTCTATTCTTCCCTCTGCGTAGAAGCTGCAATGGCTGCCTTTGGCGCAGACGTTCCAGATCATCGGCTGCTACGCCCAGACCGAGATGGGACACGGCAGCAACGTGCGCGGCCTCGAGACCACCGCCACCTACGACAAGGCCACCCAGGAGTTTGTCCTCCACAGCCCCACCCTCACCAGCACCAAGTGGTACGCCTCCGCTCGTGTGTCGTGTCGTGTCCTTGGTCGTGTCGTGTCGTGTCGTCAATTGACCGTGTGTGTGTCGTGTGTGCGGTGTGTGTCGTGTGTTCAGGTGGCCCGGCGGACTGGGCAAGACGTCGACGCACTGCGTGACGCACGCGCGTCTGCTGGTGGAGGGCAAGGACCACGGCGTGGCCACCTTCATCGTGCAGATCCGCAGCACCGACGACCACGCGCCCATGCCCGGCGTCACCGTGGGCGACATCGGCCCCAAGTTTGGCTACGACACCCAGGACAACGGCTTCCTCCGCTTCGACCACGTGCGAATCCCGCGCGACCAGATGCTCATGAAGTACAAGCAGGTGAGCCCCGAGGGCGTGGTGACCGAGGCCCCGAAGAAGCTGTCGAAGCTGAGCTACGGCACCATGATGTACATCCGCTCGCGCATCGTCGGCGGCGCCTCGAGCACCCTCGCCCGCGCGTGCACCATCGCCGTCCGCTACTCGGCCGTCCGTCGCCAGTTCTCCGACGCCGACAGTACGACACGACACGACACGACACGACACGACACGACGCGACGCGACGCGACGCGACCCGACACACGCGCAACACAGCACGACACGCGCGACCGCACACGCTGACTTGTGTGGTTTGATGTGTAAAGATGAGCCGGAGAAGCAGGTGTTGGACTACCGCATGCAGCAGTACCGTCTGCTGCCGCTGCTGGCGACGGCCTACGCGTTCCACTTCACGGGCCGCTACATGCGCAACATCTACGACGAGCTCATGCGCAACATCCAGTCCGACGACGTCTCCGCCCTCCCCGAGGTGCGCATTCCTCGCACATTCCTCAATCGCACACGCGCTTACGGGTCGGTGTGTGTGTGTGTGTTGTGTGTTGTGTGTCGTGTGTGTTGTGTGTCGTGTGTTGTGTGTGTTGTGTGTGTTTCGATGATGGTGGTGGTGGCAGGTGCACGCGACGAGCGCAGGTTTGAAGGCGGTGACGACGTGGATGACGGCGGACGGCATCGAGGAGTGCCGCAAGTGTTGCGGCGGCCACGGCTACTCCAAGTTCGCCGGCATCTCCGGTGCGTCCTCCGCTCCCAGTTCACTCCCCTCGCCCCCGCGCTGTAGAGCGATTCGCTCAGCTGACGTGTGTCGTGTCGTTGGTCGTGTCGTTGGTCGTGTCGTGTCGTGTCGTGTCGTGTCGTGTCGTGTCGTGTCGTGTCGTCTCGCCAGACATCTATGTCAACTATGTGCCCGCGTGCACGTACGAGGGCGACAACGTGGTGATGTGCCTCCAGACGGCGCGCTACCTGGTCAAGACCGCCCGTGGCGCCGCCAAGGGCGAGCCCCTCGGTACGTACCGCGCCGCCTCTGCCCTCCCCCTCTTCCCGCTCTCACTGTGCGGTGGTGCGGTGTGCGGTGGTGCGGTGTGCAGTGGGCAGCGTGCAGTACCTGGCCCCGGCGCTCTCCCTGCGCGCCAGGTGCCCGGCCCAGAAGGTGGCCGACTTCCTGTGCCCCAGGACCTGGGTCGACGCCTTCGCCCTCCGCGCCCGCTTCTGCGTCTTCGAGACCGGTACGCACCTCCTCACCCTTTTCTTCTTCTCGCCCTTCATGCGCTGTGTGTGTGTCGTGTGTGTCGTGTGTGTCGTGTCATATCTTCATTTGCTGACGCAACTCGTGTTCTTCTTCAATTCGACTGCGCAGTCAAGAAGCTCGACGCCCTGAAGGGCCGTGGCCTGAACGACAAGCAGGTGTGGAACGAAGCCCAGATCGACCTCGTCAAGATGGTTCGTTTTCATTCTTTTTATTATTACGCCCTTCGCTTTCGCTTTTCACTTTTCGCTTTCTTTTTCTTCGGGCGGGCCGCGGCGGTTATTGACGACCGGGGGGGGGCACAACGCGCAGACGAAGGCGCACTGCTACTACACGATCGTGAGGAACTTCGCGAACGCGGTGGAGAAGGTGGAGGACAAGCAGCTCCAGGCGGTGCTGCACAAGCTGTGCATGCTCTTCGCCCTCTACCAGGTCCAGCGCGACCTCGGCGACTTCACCTGCTCCGGCTACCTCGCCCAGTACGACACGACACGACACGACACGACACGACACGACACGACACGACACGACACGACACGACACGACACGACACGACACGACACGACACGGCACACACACGACACACTTCGCTTTGATTTGACGTCGATCGGCGTGAGCGTAGGGAGCAGGTGCCGCTCCTGAACGAAGCCGTGGAGGTGCTCCTGTCGGAGCTCCGCAAGGACGCCGTCCCGCTGGTCGACAGCTTCGACTTCTCCGACCACTTCCTCAACAGCTCCCTCGGCCGCTACAACGGTTCCCTCCCTCCCTCCCTCTCTTCTCTCTTTTGTGTCGTTCAAAAGACGAGACTTACCCCCGCGCGTGTCGTGTCGTGTCGCGTGTTGTGTTGTGTGCGGCAGGTGACGTGTACGAGCACATGTACAAGTGGGCGCAGAAGGAGCCGCTCAACCAGGCGCCCTACGCGACCCAGCCGCCCGGCTACGAGAAGTACCTCAAGCGCCTCCTCAACGGCGAGGTGCTGCAGGAGGCCATCCAGAACAAGATGACGAAGGCCAACCTTTAAACGAGAGCAGAGACGAAGGAAGAAGATGTCTTGAAGAAGTGGAGGGGAACGTCGCGTGTGTTTATGTACAGTGCCGTGGCCACAAGCCCTCCTGAAGGCGCAACAAAAAGTGTGTTTTGTTCGACAGCGCAAACATGTCTGGCTTACTCGCGGTCTTTGTGGTCATCGCCGCGCTTCTCGTCGTTGTCGCCGTTGTCGTCGTCGTCGAATTGGGAGCCCATGGCCGGGCTGGCGGGGAGGACGGGCTCGGCCTCCTCGACCTCCTCCACGCCGAAGATGTCCTCCGACTCCTGGCTGTCCATGAGGGGAACCGACAGCGGGAAGCCCGGCGTGCTCATGGCCAGCGGGTCGCCCTGGGTCGAGGCCGTCGCCGTCAGACACGTGAAGCCCGTCAGCGTCATCGGCGGCGATCCGTCCAGCTCGTCTTCCTCCCCCTCCTGGTCGTCTTCATTCTTCTTCTTCCTCGTCTCGTCTTCGTTCTTTTCCTCTTCTTCGTTCTCGTCTTCGGTTCGCTTCTTCTTCTTGTCGGGCGTTTCTTCTTTGTCGGTTTCCTCCTCGGCTTCGCGCTTGCGCTTGAGCTGGGCTGTGAGCTGGGCGATGACGTCGGCCTTGCGCGCCAGCTTCACGTTGGCCTTCTCGACGTCGGCCGCCGCGCGCTCGGCCCGCGCCACGAGCTCCCGGTTGTGCTTCTCCAGCGCCGCCGCGCGCTCGGCGAGCCGGTCGCGCTCCTCGCCACACTCGCGCAGCCGCGCGTCGAGCGCCTCCAACGCAACGCGCGCCTCGTCGCGTTCGCCCTCGAGCGCCGCCACGCGCTCGGTCTGGCGGTCGCGAAACAGGACCAGCTCCTGCGTCTGCCGCTTCAGCGCCTGCGCCTTGGCCCGCGCCTTGTCCGCGGCGAGCCCCGCCTGCGTCGCGCGCTCGGCCGCCTCGCGCAGCTGCGTGTCCAGGGCCTCGTTGCGTTCGACAAAGGTGGCGTTGGCCTTGCGCAGGTCGCCCGCCTCGCGCTCGGCCTTCTTGAGCTGCTCCTCGGTCTCGCTCTTGCGCTTCTTGAGCACCCCGTAGCGCTCGTACACGATCTTGGTCTTGCGCTTCACCTTCTTCATCTCGTCCTCCACCAGCTTGGCCCGCTGCCGCTCCTTCTCGAGCTGCTCCTCCGCCGCGCGCATCTTCTCCTCCATCTCCGCCTTCGCCTTCGCCTCCGCATCGTCGATCACTGCGATGGCTTCGGCCTCGACCACCGCCGCTGGCTGCTGCTCTTCGTCGACGCGCCGGCGCTTGGGCTCCGGCTGGGCGTCAGCGTCAGCGCCGGCTTCGGCGGCGTCGGCGACGATGGAGGTGGTGGTAGCGGCGGCGGTGGCGGAGGGGAGGAGGGTGTGGCTGAAGGCGGCGAGCTCCTCGCGCAGGATGTCGCGGAGGTCGGCCCGCAGGTTGTGGGTCTCGCGCACCACCTCGCGCAGGGCCTCACGATCGACGCTCGACTCCCCACCACCACCGGCGCCACCGCTGATGGCCCGCTTGACGCCGCGCCACTTGTCCTTCATCTGCGTCAGCGCCGCCCGCAGTCGCTGGTTCTCGTCTTCGACAGACGCGTCTGCGGCGCTTCTCGCCGGCGCGTCGTCGGGGAACGGCCGGCTGGCGCTGCTGTCGGCTGCGCGTCGATGGCCAGCGCTGCCACGTCGGCCGCCGCTGGCAGGCCGCCCGGCCGGCGTCGGTTGGGGCGGCGTGGCGATCCGCACCTTCTTCGGGCTCTTGCTGCTGTTGGGCGCCGCCGGGTTGCTGTTGCTGGTGGTCGACGTGGCGCCGCCGCCTCCCTTCTTGGCTGCCGTCGCCGTCGCCGTCGCCTGCTCGTCGGCGCTGCCGTTGGCCGCCGCAGTCTTGGCCTTGGCCATCGCCGACTTGACTGTTTCCATGGAACAACATATAAACATCCAATCATCAGCATCTGCGTGTGTGTGTGCGTGTCGTGTCGTGTCGTGTCATGGTGCGTACTGGGCTGCGGGGGAGGGGCGCCGGTGGGGTTGAGCTTGAGGGGCCGAATGGTGTGCTCGCCGCCGCCGGTGGCCTTCTTGCTGAGCGAGCGGAAGGTGGCAGCGCCCTTGCGGCCGCCCTTGAGATCGGAGGCGCCGTTGAGGAGGTCCTCCTCGTCGGGCGGCTGGGACTCGGTGAGGCTGTCGATCGAGTCCTCGAGCAGGAACTCGAACAGGCGGTCGTTGTCGGTGTTGACCGCGCCCTCGATTGCCTGCGCCAGCGCGATCTCCTTGTTGACCCCCGTTGACGACGCTGCTGACGTGGCGTCAACGCTGGTCGTGGTCAACGCCTTGCCGTGTTGTTTGACCGGTGAGACTGCAGCAGCGGCGAGGGTCTCCTTGCGGGTCTTTTCGAGCTCGTGCTGGATCTCGAGCACCTCCTTGTCCTTGAAGGCGATGGTGCTGGTGAGCTCCTTGAGGCGGTCCTCCAGCTCCCGCTCCTTGCGGTCGCGCTCGTAGACCTCCATCTGGAAATGGCGCGCCTGGCTCTTCTCCTGCGCGATCATGTCCCGCAGGATGCCGATCTCCCGCTCCCGCTCGGCGATGAACCGCTTCAGCTCCTGGAATGTGCGACCACAAGCACACGCGCATTCCATGCATGACGCACCACATTCCACGCACGGTTGGCATGCCAACAATACAAGAAACTGAAAGCACGAGGCGAGGGGCGGTGTAAACGTACGTCGGGGTCGGAGGTGAGCTGGTGCTTCTGCGGGCGGAGGGGCGACGCGCACGGCAGCGCGATCCTGGTTGGACTCCGCACCGGCGACGTACCGGCTGCTGCGGCCTGCTGCGACTGGCGACCACGCCGTGCGGACGGATCGCAATGACGTCAGCACAAATGCAGACCCCCAAGCTGATGCGAGCGCGGGCCACGTACGGGATTGGGCGCCGAGGGCGGCGTCAAGCTCGCAGCATTCGAAGAGACGGCAGCGGCGGGCGTCGACGATGAAGACGAAGACGACGATGAAGAAGCGGCGGAGCGGGAGGCGTCTTCCACGACCACCACCACGGGCTGCTGCTGCTCCGGCGGCGGCTGGTGCGGAGGGGTGCTGCCGCTGGCGCTGTGGGTCTCCTGCGGCTTCGAAGGCTCAGGCTCAGCCTCCACGACCGTGGGCTCCTCGCGCTGCTGCTGCTGCTGGTGGCGGGCGGCTTCCTCGTCCATCAGGTCCATTGAGGCTGCCGCGGCCAGCATGGCGGCATCGTCCATGGGGTGCTGCTTCTGGTGCTGATGGTGGTCGCCGGTGGCCGCTTCGGGCTGCGGCGGCATAACCTCGCCTCCGCCAGCGGAAGGAGGCGGATTGTTGTGGTCGACGTGCATGGCCTCGACCGTCTCCGACGGCGCGACAACCACCGAAGGCGCTGCCGCCTGCTGCTGCTGCTGCTGCTCGTGCACTGGCTGCTGTTGATGCTGCTGAGGGCTCGACCGGTTGACCGGGCTGCCCTGCAGTTGCTGGTGCGGCGGCTGCTGCTGGTGGAGGGCCGGACGGCCGAAGGAAGCGTGGGATGCCCCGAAGGCAGAGCCGCGGGCCTGCGGTGCGTGGGTGTGCGCCGCAGGAGGTCCCGTCCAGCTCCCACCACCACCACCGCCCGTAGCCGCCAAGGGCTGGTGCTGCTGCATGGACGGCTGATGCTGCTGCTGATGGTGGGGCACGGCGGGTTCCTGCGAGGCGAACGGTATGAAGTCATCATCGTCCTCCATCGTCTGCTGCTGCTGCGGCTGCTGCGGCGGTTGGTAATGGTGGGGGTGAGGCATCCACTGCTGCGGCGGCTGCTGGTAGTGCTCGACGGCGGCGGCGGCGGCAGGGGACTGCCGGGGAGGCGACGACATGCGTGACAGCGGTGCCGCGCCGGCAGCCGGCGAGCGCGGAGCGGCGGCGGTGGCGGGCAGCAGGTTCTCGGGCGTGAACGACTCGGGCGGGAACGGCAGCGCAGTGTCGACGCTGCCGCCGCGCTGGCCGGCCGCCACCCCAAACGACGCCGCCGACGACTGCAGCGGCGAAGAAGAAGACCCCGCCGCGGTCGGCGATGTGGTCGGGCCGTCGATGAATTGAGACACGGGCCGGGTCGCGGGGATGACGCGACGCGGCGCCGTCGTCAAAGTGGGCGAGAAGGTGGTCGATGAGTTGCTCGAAGAGAGGGGCGGAGGGCGAGCGGCGGAGAAGGAGATGGACGACGACGAGGCGTGGGCGGGGCCGACGGCGAAGGAGGTGATCGTGGTGGAGCTGCTGTTGCTGATGCTGGTGGGGGTCGTGGTAGGTAGCGCGGCGCGCTGCAGATTGGCGAGGGAGGAGGTGGGCGCGGGTGACGGCGTGAAGGGAGGAGGACGCAGCGGGGCCGTGGCGGACGGCGCGGCCGACCGTACGCCGCTCATGAGCGACATCACCGGCGCCGCCCGGCCCACATTGCCCACCACCAGGTGGCTGGCCCCGCCGGTACTGCTTGTCACAGCGTACACGCACATTCACAGAATTCCAAATAAATAATAAATACATAAACAAATAAATAGAAATAGACAAGAGGCGTGTATAGAAGGAGAGGCAACAGGAACTACCAGAGCAAGAGGCTCGGCGAGCAATGGCAAGAAAGAAGAGGGAGAGGAGTGAGAGAAGTAGGAGGGGGCACCTGGTGGGAGGAGCAGTGGGCAAGAAGGGTGCGGCGGGAGCTGCGAGAGGCAGCGATGGCATGGTGGTGGCAGGCACGCCCGCACCCACAAAGCGGGCAGCAGAGGACGTAGGGGCAAACTGCAGGCGTACAGTCAATAAACACAATAATAATAAAAATTTAAAAATAAGAAAGAAAGAAAAAGATGGAACCTGGGGTGGTCGCTGCTGCTGCTGTTGCCCTGTGTCGCCAGTGGAGGAGTTGGCCCAGCCGTTGGTCCCGCCCCCTCCGAAATCAGTGGCCTTCTTCGCGGGCGAATTACCGAATGTTCTGTTGGATTGCACGAAATTAGCAAGATTTGCCACAAACAGGCACCTCCCGCACGCACCTGAAGGACATGTTGCTGCCCTTGGTTGTTCAACGTTGCTCTTTCTTCTCTGGATTGAGATTACCGTTGTGGCCAAGATGCATCTTTCTTCGTCGTTGGCGGTTCTAGGAATTATTTTGAAAATATTCCATGAATGTTGAGAGCATTTATGAAATTCCAGAGGTCCATTCATTTTTTGGGGCCATTCATTTCTCCGCTTGTGGGCTTGGGCGAAGATGGAGGGGGCAAGTAGCGCACCGGGAAGATGGAGGTACACGGGCCTGGTGGTGCCGGGGTGCATAGCAAGGGGCTCCTCACACTGCTACAAGTAGCGGCCCTACTACTTGTCTTGGCCCTTGGGCCACCACCCGCGTTGTGTGCTCAGGTGGTGTTCCCCTCCACAGATGTCACCACTTGCTCCTACTCCGACGCCTCCACTCCCACGTACTCCCCCCACCACCACACCCTTTACAGTTCAGAAGAAATATAAGAAAATTGATGTGAGCTCCATGGCCACAGCTGCGAGACGAAGCTGCTGGTGCAGTGGATCATCTACGGGGGAGGCTCCAACCTGGCCCTCTCCGTCCAACTCGACAATGGTGCATAGGCCGGTCCTACACGTCTTTACTTCTTCAAGAGGCTCACCACGCACGCCTTCACACAGGGGTCAACTTCACGGACCAGTACGGGAGGCCGTGGGGCGCCGCCCAGCCCATCAACATCCAGCTCTCCCTCCTCAACTCTCGGATCGGTACCTCTGCTCTTTCTCTTTCGAAAGCCGCCAGCCGCATTCCTCCTCATTCCAGAGCGCGTGTGCGTGTGCGGTGTGCGTGTGCGGTGTGTGCGGTGTGTTGCCGTAGAGTACGGGATGACGTACAAGGGCATGTACCGCAACGCCTACGAGAAGCGAGTGCCCACGCAGTCGGCGGCCAACCAGTGCCCGACCAACCACAAGTGCGTGCCTTTGCCAGAGCCCAGCCAGCTCCCAACTATGTATTGATTGTGGCTTCGCTGCTGATGAGCTTGGCTTCGTGCATGCATGTAAACCTTCAGGTGTTGCAGCGACGTGAGCTACTTCCCGTGGTTGGGCTACGACGCGTCGCTGGCCTTCAACAGCACCACGTGGTACGGCTACGCCCTGGGCTTCGGCGTGTGGAAGTACGACGTGCAGGTCGCCCTCTCCCAGGGTTCGTTCTTCACGCCACCGCGCACACGTTCCACCGCACACGCGCGCACTTGGGGTAAATTGGTGACGATGAACGTTCGATCGTGTTGCTGCAGGCACGCTCTACCAGGGCCTTTTCCTCAATTCGGTCTCACCGAGCGCCTCCTTGAGCGGCATTTCGGTACTTAGAGAGCGCGCCTTGTGCTCCACCCCACGCACTTGGCTGATGGTGGTCGATTGGCGCACACACGCACACACACGCACACACACGCACACGCATACGCACGCACACAGGTAACGCTGCACTCGCCGCAGGTGAACCAGAACAAGTTGACGAACTACAACTACTACACCTACATGCTCCCATCCACCAATGCCTCCCTACCAGGTCTGCACACCTGCATGTCCGATGTTGTAGCCGCAGCTCTCATTTGTCATCGCACACGCACACGCACACACATACACACACACACGCACACGCACATGCACACGCACCACCGCACACGCACACGCACACGCACAGGATCGGGATTCCTGGTGCCGGACGGGAACATCGGGATCCTGTCCAACCAAATCGGGGTCCTCACAGACCAATGGCTGGGCGCCTACCAATGCAATCAGGCGTTGGGCCTCAAGACCATGGTCCAGACTGCAAATCCGTACATTTGACCCCCCCCCCCGCGACATCGCTTTCTCTCTTTCGCATTTCGTGTTCACCACACGTCGCGGCCTCCGCAGGTATGACCAGTTTGCTGCGTTCCGATCGTCGTCGCTCGAAGCAGAAAACCCGACGTCGGGCTGCCTCCTCCGATCCAATGCCTCCAACGCCAACCCGTTCTCAACATCACCACTTCTTCAGGTGCTTCATCCACCCACGCTGATTGGCATCACCTACCCTTCATCCAACACCAAGCCGTGTGTCGTGTGTCGTGTTGTGTCGTGTGTCGTGTTGTGTCGTGTGTCGTGTGTGTCGTGTGTCGTGTGTGTCGTCGTGTCGTGTGTCGTGTGTCGTGTGTCGTGTGTCGTGTGCCGTGTGTCGTGCAGACGTTCGCGTGTCCGGATGTGGGTTCGATGCGCGTCCAAATGGAGATCTCGTCGGCCTCCTACAAGCTGCAGGCGCTCTACGGCGTGCCGCTGATCACCGGCTCTGGAATGTATGCGCTCAGCCCTACCGACGCCTACGCCACCATCTACCTCGACTGCAGCAACAGCGGCACCTACGACGGCGTGTTCACCTTCCAGCCCGTCAACTGCTGCATCACGCGCTGGCCGTCCACCACCTGCAGCGTACGCCCTTCAAGCTCAGGAATGCGAGCATTCCTTAAATTCCTGCGCTGACACGCGCAGCACACAGGGCGTGACATTCCAGAGCGCGTCGACCGTGACGGTGCCGCCGTCGGGCGCGGCGCGGGTGACCTTTATCGTCGACAGTCACCACGTGCTGGGCGCCAACGGGACGTGCGCGTTCGACGTCCTGCAGCACGCCCGCGTCGAGCAGCGCGTGACCGCCACCTTCGACACCTCCCTCACCGACTACCTCTCTGGCGGCGTGCCCATCACCGGTACCTCCGCGCTCCGTGTGCGCATGTGTCGTGTGTCGTGTGTCGTGTTGTGTGTGTCGTGCGCACACAGCAACTGACCCGACGTTCGCGCAGGCGAGGCGCCAGATTGCTTCGACCCCTACATCATCGTACAGAAGGGCAGCACGCGCTACTGTGTGCCCCCGTGCACACAAGACCAGGACTGGGACGCTTCCATGTACGTTTCGCGCGCAGGGTTTGCTCACACGATGCTTCACCCAACTCTCACCTTCGCTCTTTTGTTCTTTTTCGTTTTCGTTCTTTTGGGGTGGTAGGTCGGTGTGCCGCGGGGTCGACTGCTCGCTCAAGTACCTGGGCGCGCGCAACTGGTACAACCTCACCGCGGGCCTGTGCCAAGCGGCCGCCACCTGCACCAGCGCACAGGTGACCCACCCCTACTTCAACTGAAGTGATTCAAGTGTGTTCCGCAAGCTCACCGTGTGCGTGTGCGTGTGCGTGTGCGTGTGCGTGTGCGTGTGCGTGTGCGTGTGCGTGTGCTTCGCGAATGCAGACGTACGTGTCGAGCAACAACTCGTGTGTTAACAAGACCGCAACGATTGAGGCCACCAACTGCACTTCGGCGGCGTGCTCGCTCGACACCACCCTCTTCACTCCCGTCACGGTACGTCGTCGGCCTCACATTGGCCTTTGGGGGGGGGGGGCAATGGATCACTGACAGCCAAGCGGCCTTGCGTGCGTGCGCGCAGCTCACGATCGACTGCGGGGAGCACGGCACCTACGCCAATCACTCATGCAACTGCACCGAGGGCTACACCACCGTGTTCGGCGACCGGGTGCGCCTCCTCCTCTTGTGCGCTGTGCGTGTTCGTGTGCCCTGAGCCGTGCGTTCTGTGTCGTGTGTCGTGCGATGCATCGCCTGATTAGCGTCCACTCGCAGGTGACGAATTCGTCGGGGCTGGGGTGGTGCACGACCCTGGTCGTCGCGAGCAGCTCGAGCTCCGTCGCCTCGGTAAGCTGTAGTCCCCCCACATTGCCTTCTTCTGTACTCATTTCCCCTTCCCCCCCGGCGGCTGGTGCTCGTCAGTCGCTGATGGTGGCGGTCGTGGCCCTGGGCCTGGGCCTCGGCCTGTGCTGCTGCGGCTTCGCGGTGTCTACCGGCGGCCTCCTCTACCTCCAGGCGCGAGCCCGGAAGCGCTGGGCCAGGGTACTTGCAACCCGCGTGTGTCGTGTCGTGTCGTGTCGTGTCGTGTGTGTCGTGTCGTGCGACTCAAGGTGAGCGTTGATGGTTGCAGGAGCGGCTGGAGCATCACCACGCGGCGCAGGCGAGGGAGCAGCAGCTGCTCACCCTCCAGCTGACGGCCATGAACCAGTGGCCACGCGCCCAGCCGCCGCCGACGCCCGCGGACCTCAACGGGCCTCCCCTCCCCGGCAGCCAACGCTTCGGCGACCACCGCGACGACAGCGACAAGAACGGCAACGAGGCCGACCACCAAAACAACGACGACGAGGAAGAAGCGCAGCAGGCGGCGGGCGACGACGGGTGGCACAACTACTACAACACTGGCTTTGAGGGCGGCGGCGGCCGCGTCCGGAGCGCCGCGGGCGCCACCACCCGCTACACGGTGCGCGTCGTGTCCGGCACCCTGCCCGTCTGGCAGCAGCGCCTCCAACAGCAGCAACAGCTGAAGGAAAAGGAAAAGGAAGAGAAGGAGGAGAAGGAGAAGAAGGAGGGGTCGTCGGCAGAAGCGCCGCAGGAGCGCGGGTGGCGGAGGGGCCGGCGGCGGAGGGGCGTGAACGAGATGGCGACGCTGCTCGGGGAGCACCTCAACTTCCTGTGGGCCAACCTGGCCGGCTTCACCCGCTCGCCCTCGGCCACGGCCGCCCCGACGCCCGACCACCATGGCCACGACCACGACGGCAAAGCCGATGATCAGGCCGATGGCGACGATCGCGCCGATGCCGATGCCGATGGCGCTGCCGATGGCGATGAAGGCGACCGACCACTGCCGGCTATACCCACCACGACGACGGACCGCAATGAAGACAATGACGAAGAGGAGCAGGTGGAGGTGATGGAGGCGGAAATGGTGGTGGACGAGGTGGTGATGTCGCCGGCGGAGCTGCTGCGCACGCTCAAAGCGCGACAGCCGCGCGAGGATGAGGAGGTAGAGCACGGGGACGGCCGGGGAGCAAAGAGGAGGAAGAGCGGGATAAAGAAAACGAAGACGACAGCAAAGAAGAGGGGCGAAAACAGCGCGCCTCCCAATGGACTGCTGGCCCTCGTGAGCGGCTACCAATAGGTCAGCATCAGCATCATCACCATCACCCCTCATCACCACATCTTTTTTTCTTCCTCTTCTCTATGTACATAGACATGAAAGCAGCCCCTCCCGCACCTCGCTGTTGGTCGATGTCAAACTGTGGCAGCACTCTGGATCAACAACATACAATGGCGATGCCACAGCATAACAAAAAAAGTATAAAGGGGGTGTAGCGCAGATGGCCAAGTGTAGGGGGTGTAGCTCAGATGGTAGAGCGCTCGCTTAGCATGCGAGAGGTAAAGGGATCGATACCCTTCTCCTCCAATTCTTTTGGTCTACACAAATAGATTCACTGTTTGTTTTTATTTTATATCTTTTTTATACGGTGTGCAGCCGAACGCAATGCGAGGGTGAAAGAAGTGTTTCGGTTTACAGGCGCAGAAGAGCGCGAGAGAGACGAGAAAGCAGGCCATGCGTGGGCGCGGCAGTGTGGGCGGCAACGAGGCGGCTGATGCTGGCATCGTCGACGGGGCCAAAGCCAGGGGAGAGGGTCCAGCGAAGCTCCGAGTGCGGAAACCCAAAGTGGAGGCCGTGGAAGTCGAGGGCGAACTTGGCTCCGCGGTGCAGGAGGGAGAACACCAGGCGCACGGCGGGATCTCCCGCGACAAGGCGGCGCTCGACGGAGACGTGGGGCGACAGGCGTTCGACACAGGCGAGGTCGGCGAGGAGAAGCTCGACTCGCCCCAGTCGGAAGGTGACCTCCTCGAGCACGGCGCGAAGCTGCCCCATGCAGGTCAATCGCTGCAGCAGACTCTGCACGTTGGTGCCCTTGACCAAGCCGAGCACGAAGCTGTCCATTTGCTGATGCCGACCGTCTGCGCCCGCCGCTCCTTCCGGGGCAAGCCATGCCTTGGTAACTGCGCCGCAGAGCACCCCCAACAGT